GAGAATTACGAACCAAACTCTGCTCTCTCATGTGTTGCATGTGAGTGTGGACATGGATTGCTAAGTCTGAACATGAATAATGCTATTTACACACCCTTTCCACCTTAAAAGGCAGGCATCATTCCTTCAGGCTTCCAAGGAGAAAAGAGATGTGTGGCCCTTTCTTCCTTCATCCTAGATTCTCTATCTGTGCAGCTGTGAGTCCTAGCTCATATTGCAATTGGCAAGAGAGGTTTTTCCTTTCTTCCCACACTCCAATCCCCTCCAGGTCACCAGTTTAGGTACAGCAACCTGAACATTTCTTACTCATTTGGGGGCCTGTTTCTCGTTTCACATGATTCCCCCAAATTTTAGAAATTGCTCATTGAAACAATGTCTAATATGATTAGCCCTTGATGCATATAATAAAACAGTCTGAGCCAGATTATCCTTCCTCTGAGAGGAACCCAGATATCACTATCAACTCTAATAAGTGAAACGTCAGTTTTCTCTTTTACATTTGCTAATTCATGTATAATGTTTTCCCAATATTCCCTCCTAGTCTTTTTATTTTCTTCTTTACTTTTCTCAATTTGACCTATTTGAGAAAATTATTTTGTTTTTTCAAATAAGGCCTTATATCCAGAATGCCTATTCTCTCTGAAGGCCACCTATTTTTTTTTTCATTGTGTGAAAGATGATTGTTTTTTGCATTGTATAAGTAGGCTGTGCAAATACCATCTGAATAAATACATTCCTAACTATAGTATTTAGGAAGGATATCCTATAGTATTCCACTTACGGCACAGTTTCTGTCCTGTCCCTGGGTCTACAGGAATGCACTGTGCTAGCCGGGTCAGAACCCAATGAGACACTGGAAAAAAGGAATTCTAGAGAATTTCCTGTTTTACAAAGGAGACATATTCACCGGAATGTTTTCGGTTAAAATGGCATATGACTCAGAATTCATTGTACATATTTCTTTAAAATGCTTACTTATTATATAATGTTGAAGTAAATTCAAACCCTTTTTATTTGGATGAGTATATCTAATTGACACCAATGTGTGTGATTCACAAGTTAGAGTGTCATGAATTCTGAAATAAGTTCTGTCGTCTAGCCTGGCTCTACTTGGAAGAAGCAAAGTTGGTGCTTAGGTTGATATAAAATCATGCCAATTTCCTTGATCTATACTCAAGATGGGAGGTTAATTTTTCCTATGGCAATGATAAAATTTCACTTTGAGGAAAAAAAAATACTATGTGGTGATTTTTGAAGCTCCACTGGATCTATGATTTCCTGAATATTAATGGAAATTCATGGCATGGATGAATTTCCATTAATATTGGAACTTCTATTTAGAACTTCATTTAAAGACTGCTGACAATTACTCAAATTTTTGCACTGGAGATATTAATAAAATTAACCTTTCCTGAACTAAATTGCATTTCCTGATAAGTTGCATTAATATGTAGTCTATATATAAAAAATGTTATCTTGAGGTTTTAAACATTACTTCTTCTACACATGTTACCAGGCAAACAACATGCCTAAACTAGACTCCTGACTGCCCTAAAATTTTATGTTGACAGAAGTGCAACTAATACCATTCAGGACCCTGATTTACAAGTTATTTAAATGTAATCCTTCAAGAGCTCTGTAATATCAAATATTTCTACAGCTCATTTTCTTATTTATTTATCAGCTGAAATTTTTGCTTTACTTATTTTGTTTATTTTAAGTTTCATTGGTGCATTATAATTATACATAACCTTGGAATTCATTGTTACATATTCATGCATGCACACAATAGAATTTGGTGTCTGCTCAAGTTTTTAAAAATGATTCAAACTGAATGAAAGCAAAACTTGTATTTCACAGAAATCACATGAACTAAGGTAGTTTTACAGCTATTTTTAAATGGTAGTTATTCAGTGATAATGCATATATATTCAAGAATTTTCTTTGACCTAGCTGCTCAGGAATCTGAGGCAAGTTCAAGGCCACTGTCAGTAACTTAGTGAGGCCCTAAGCAATATAGGAAGACCATATCTCAAAATACAAAATAAAACTTATTGGGGATTTGGCTCAGTGGTAAAGCACCCCTGAGTTCAATCCCTGTAGCTAAAATACAAAAGAAAAATATAAAAGAAAAAACTTGATCACTGGACACATTATCTTACATGGAAAACAAACAATACAAGTATATGCTGTTATCAGTACATATAGGGCTCAAATTATCATTTTCCTGACCCATGAAGCTTACAGGTGAGTATAACTTTGGTATTTTACTATGAGTTCCTGGGGTTACTGTGGGATCAACTCAAATATGTTAGGTGAGTGAATAGAGAAAATTGTCATATTATGTTATCATTTCTTTGAAAAACCTGATTTTTTTGTCTTTTTGATCATCTTTTTCTTATGACTTCTCTTCATTGAGACTGAGAATAGAAAAACAAGATTTTATTTTAAATGAAGAACTTTACAAATTATAGTAATATGAATATGGCTAAAAATGTATTTAACCAGGAACCCATTAATATTTTGAATACAAGGTCTATTAATCTTATTATAGCTACCCTTTTCTAATAATTCTATAGAATTTTGTTTCAGAAAATCTTCACTTCAAATGTTTTAACTAAATACCTGCCTCACGTCTGAATTCTTAACTGGTATCCAGTGTTGGTGAGTGATTAATATATTTTTTTTGCATCCCCTTAGAATCTTACATTACAGAACCATTCGCCATAACATAAATCATTCTCATATGCTTGATTTTCAGTAGAAAAAAATATTTTTATTCTATGACTGAAAAGCTTTTTCAATACCATCTATCTCACATGGATGATATTTAAAGAAATGTGCACACTCTCTATGAAATATTGTCCCAGCTGATCATTCAACAATTCTCCATCATAAATTTCAGACTTGGACTTTTTGAGTCTGAAGGAAGGTCACATTTTAATTTGTATTAACATAATTGAGCCCATGTTTCAGGATTGGGCTGGATTGTCCTTTCATTAAAACCTTCAAATGGAACAACACCAAGTCTATTTTCATTGCAGTTCTATTTACTGCTCTAATGGAAAGCACTGAAAAGAAAAAATAATGAAATTTGCTCTTGGTACTATTTTTGGAATATTCTGACATAGGCTATTTATTCTGGCTTGAAGATCAAAAAAAATGTGACATGTCCATCCATGTCAGAGGATTCCATGGGCCGACAAAAATATAATCAGGTTCTCTGAAAGGGGTCATGCAAATATTCTTCTATATTGGAAATTTCTAATTTTTTTTGTGCCAGAAATTTAACCATGGGTGCTTAAACACTGACCCACATCCCCCCCTTTTTATATTGTATCTAGAGACAGTGTCTCCTGAGTTTTGCTTAGGGCCTAACTAAGTTACTGAGGCTGGCTTTGAACTTGCACTCTTTCAGCTTCAGCTGTCTGAGCTGCTGAGATTACAGGCATATGCCCCTTGGCCAGGAGTAATATCCACTTTCCATCTTCTCTGGTAAGGTAGGAACAGAACTGACCTGTTCCTAAAAGAATTAAATTGATCCTCCCAAGTCACATGCCTGAAGAACTGTATGATAACAACTTTAGAATCCAACACTTCTAGGGAGTTTATTATGTGCCATAAACACTTCCAAGGTAGGTACACACACTTTATTTTTTTCAAATATGATATCTTCAGGATTCACATGACTATGTTGATAGCTGAGATGACTGTATCTCAGCATCAGAGAGAGCTCAAGGGGAGGCGACTGTGAATGGAAGATAATACAAGTAAATTCAGCCATCAGACTTCAGAATTTACACCCACGTTTTCTTGTTTATATATCACAGATATTTGGTCTGGCAGGAAATAAGCCAGAATTAACATGGTGCTGACATGAAATACCTCTGAGCATGTCTAATCTGTGACACTCTTGGCTTGGGAGGGGCTCATTCCAATTTCCTGCAAAAAACCTCACTCAAATCCACCTAAAACTGGAGAGCTTCTACTGTGTACCTGACAAACAAGATCAGCAACATGAAAATCAAGCAAGACTCTGTCCTGCCCCAGAAAACCTCACACATGTGGTGATAGGAAAGAAACATATTTTAGAATATGTGGGAATGTTTATTATTATTCTTTAAGAGGCACTAAACCCAAGGGTGCTTAACACTGAGCCACATCATCAGACCTTTTTTTTTCTTTTTTTAAAATTTTCAGACAGGGTCTCAGTTGCTTAGGGCCTTGCTAAGTTGCTGAGGCTGGCCTTCAATTTATGATCCTCCTGCCTCAGCCTCCCATGCTGCTGGAATCAGATGAGTGTGCCACCATGACTGGCTGGTAATTATTTTTTTCTAAAGTTTGTCTTTTGTGGTTGTATATGGACAGAATGCCTTTCTTTTATTTGTTTTTATGTGGTGCTGAGGATTGAACCCAATGACTCACCTATGCTAGGCCAGTGATCTACCTGTGAGCCTAAACCCCAGCTTCATAATTCTTAATACACAAGAAAACTGGCATATTAAGTATCCCACTGTGGAGATCCCAATGGCACATGTAATCTAGCCAAGGCTGGGAGGTGTTGAGATGAGTCAGTGCATGGGGATTGGTTTTGGGGACAGGTTCTCAGGGATGAAAGGTAAAACACAGGAGTCATTTATTTTACTATTTTGTGCGGGGATTGCTTTGTGGGTAAGTGCCCCAGCACCAAGTTATACTCCATCTTTTTTACTCTATATTTTGAAACAGGTTCTCCCCATGATGTGAAGACTGGCTTCACCCTTGTGATCCTCCTGCCTCCACCTCTTAGGTCACTGGGACTTCAGGCAGACACCACTGTGCCCAGCACCAAAATTGAGTTTTCATGTGGCATAAAGATACATTTGGATGAATTTTCTGTTTTTTTCCACATGGCAGTAATGTTTGTTGAGATCCATGAAGAAGATCATATTTCCAAAAAAGACATTTTCTTGTTTTTTTTTTCCCTAAGGTGTTAATAATATTTTTCTTTTCCCCAGAAGATGGGCAAAGCCCACAAACTGTACAGTAACATTCACATAAGAAACACCGTGTACACTGAAATTGGCATTGGGGTCATGGCCAACGCCCTTCTTCTTCTAGTCCACGTCTCCTTGCACATTACCAGGCACAGACCTAAGCCCACTGACCTGCCCATTGGTCTCTTGGCACTAATTCACCTATCAATGCTGCTCATCAAGGGTTTCATAGATTCAGATATTTATACACCTCAGGGGGAAAGGTGGGGTCATGTGAAATGTAAATTGCTTATCTACCTGTACAGGTTGATGAGGGGCTTCTCCATCTGCACCACCTGCCTTCTGAGTGTCCTCCAAGCCATCACCCTCAGCCTCAGGGGCTCCTGCTTGGCAAAGTTCAAACATAAATCCTCACGTCACAACCTGTGTTTCCTTCTCTTCCTGTGGGTCATCTATTCATCCTTCAGTAGCCACCTCTTCATCTCCATTGCTGCTACCCCCAATTGGACCTCAGACACCTTTATGTATGTCACAGAATCCTGCTCTCTTTGGCCCATGACCTTGCTCCTCCAACACACCTTTGCCACCCTGCTGACCTTCAGGGAAGGCTCCCTTATAGGAATCATGGCCATTTCAAATGGATACATGGTGGCTCTCTTGTGCAGGCATAAGAGGCAGTCCCATAATCTTCATAGCACCAGCCTGTCCCCAATATCATCCCCAGAACTGAGGGCCACGTGGACAATCCTGCTGCTCTTGAGTTGCTTTGTGGTCATGTCCATCTTGGACAGCATTATCTCCTACGCAAGACTCACGGTGAAGGATGATCCAATATTTTACTGTATCCAGATCCTCGTGGCCCATAGCTATGCCTCATTCAGCCCTTTGGTGTTCATTGCTACTGAAAAACGTATTATTAGTATTTTGAGATATATGTGGGGTAAGACACTACATATTTCAATAGCTGGTGATGGATAAATTGTGTTAAGATGAAAAAAAATGTGCTGGCTTTCAAATAATTCATCATGGTGGAGGGTGTATGTTCTTTGTTTTAAATGCAATACCAATTCCTCCTTCATCTCTCAAAATGATTTATTTGGAAACATGCGGACGGCAAATATGTAAAAGAAAGTTAAACCACATGCCTCTCTGAGATATTACCAGGGATTCATTTTTCACATGGTGTCCACAAGGGACCCTGTGAAGTGAATGTCACTTGTCAGGTCTTGTATATTCCATACTATTTTTTAGATACAATAATTCCAAGGCTTTTTAATAATTTCATTGTCTCAGTTATCTGTATTTTTTCCAAAGTAGATAATGTAAACTTTTACTACCATAAAATATCACCTGATCTAACACACACACACACACACACACACACTCACACACTCACACACATACATACACTCTGTGCAGGGATTAAAAACATTATTTCTATAAAATTGCTCATCAATCCATGTTTTAAATATTCAAAGGTAGAGACAACTCAGTACCTACATCCATAAGAAAATACAAACAATACATAGCTTCTGCAGACACTGGAATATTAGAAACTTAGAAAACAGAAGAAGATTCCTGGCACACAGTGCAACATAGCAGAGGCTTCAAGGTACTCACTGAAGCAAGTGAGTCACAGAAGAACAAATATTATATAAATTTACTTAGAGGAGGTGGAAGTTGGAGTAGCCAAATTGGTAGGGACTGAACATAGAATGGAATTCCAGGGACCCAACAAAGTGGACAGTGGAGAATTTTTAATCTCTATTCCATAATAAGAAAAATGCAGATAACTCACAGAAGGGACAGTTGTGCAATCATGTGAACAGACCATCCATGACTGTACACTGAAGAAAGAGTCACAATGTTTATTTTATATGTATTTGGTGTTTTGTTACATTTTATTTGTTATATTTATATATTTGATGTTTTGTTACTATATATATATATATATTCACAATAAACCTGTTTTTAATTATCATAAACCCATTGTGGAAAATATTGGTTCTGAAATTTAAAAGTAAGTGATAAGATTCTCAATGGGCCACAGTGTAATTTGGTGAGCTTTAAAACAGGTATGACTGATTTGTCCCAGTTATTTGAAGACTGGTTTTGAAAATTGTGAACCGTTAAGTCTCTCCCAGGAAAAGTGTTCTTCCTATGCATTCTGCTAAGTACCCACTCTGTGCTGCTCAGCCTTTCAAAGACTTTAAGCTCTGTAGTAGGTAGTTCCAATAGAAGGCTTTCAGGAGAAATGTATATGAAGTCAAAACACCAAATTGAATTGGTAGGTGACCCATGGAAATTTTCCTAATCATGAGATCAGTATTGCAAAAATTGTGCACTTGTAATATAGTATATTTAAATGAGGGAAATCAATTAAATGTAAAATATTCTGAGAAAAAAATACTGTAGAAAAAAATTGATGAAGTAAAGGAAGCAGAGGATACGTGTATAGAAATTAAAAAAAAAAAACCCAGAGTAACAGAATATTAAAGAAACCAAAGAATTACAGAAAAGAGACCATTGAGCAAAATGGAGATTTGAGTCATTATCAACACCTGTTAAGTGTGAATAAATAAATATCCACTATCAAGTGACATAGGGTGTCTTCATAAACACACCAAAAAAAAAATAACCCACCCATATAAACTCTGTGCAATACAAGCCCTGGAGTTGTAAGGACACACAAAGAGAATAACAGGACAGGAAAATGATGCACCTGGCAAGAAGGGAACCAGTTAGCACAGGGACCTGAATAGAGAACCTGGGCTTTAGGTCACCCAGGGTCAGAGGAGAAGAAGGCCATCACATACTGGGAAAGAGCATCAGCTCAGCAAGAATGTGTCCTAGTGACAAATGTCTGACCTAATGTCAGGAAACAAAATGAATAAAATATGGACCGAACTCAAGATAAATTAGCAGCAATATAATAACAGCAAAAAAAAAATTGTACTTCACATCATGACGTAAACACTACAGGGACAAAAAGGACCTAAGACACATAGAAAAGTTCCAACCAACAGCAGAATACAGGACTGTGATGTGCTCAGAGCAGGAGGACAACACCAGGTCATCAAACAAGCCTCCTCCATCCAAAGAACCCTAAGGTCACATCTAGTATCTTTAGAAGCACCATAGAATTAAAGTAAAAATTAAAATAAAGAAGGACAACTGCAAAGAACTTATATGGGAGAGTTTAAACAACGCCTTTTAATTAATAAGGCAAAGAAGAACTCAAAAGTGGAATCAGAAAAGCTCTTTAGAAAAACAAGTATCACAGGACCACGCACTAGACCTCGGGGAACCCCATGCAGGGAGTGTGAAGAGTCCTAGAGCAACACATTTCATGTTATGGAAAGAAAACATTTCCAAATAAGCTGCCTAACTGGACCCTTTAAGGAACTGGAGGAAAAACATTAAAAGCCATTCCCCCAAATCTCCAGAACAAGGGCAAGAATAAAGATGAGAATAGAAATAAGTGAAAAGCACTCAGAACAGTAGTAAAGATCAACCCAGCAACCCAGGGGTCGTTCCTTGATAAGGAAAACAAAATTGACAATCTTCAATGCAGAATGGCTGAAAGAATGAAAGGGAAGACAAAGAATATCAAAAATGAAAGCAGGAGTATTCCAACTGCAACCACTGGTGGTGGGGAGGACCATAGAGTAGGGCTGAGAACAACTGCACACACACCAACAATAACCAAAGAGAAACAGACAGATCCCTGGACACACACCATCTCCCAAAACTGAGGAATGAAAAACCAACAGACTTAAACTGAACAATATTGATTGAGAAGATGGAACCAGTAGCACACACATCCCTCAAAAGAAGAGTCCAGGGACCCAGAACTTCATGGTGGAAGGCTACCAGGGTTTTAAAACAGCTAACACCAAAGCCTCTTAATCTCCTCCAAACAAGGGAGGAAGAAGGATCTCCAAATGCATTTTATAAGGTTGACACAAAAAAACTTGAGAAAAATGTGAGCAGATTGGATTAAACATGTTGAAAGCAACACCATTCATCATGAAGGCCTGGGATTTATCCATGGGATCCAGGTGGCTCAGATAAACATCCCCCCCCAACAATATCATTAGGAAAAGCAAAAGACTGAGAAATAAACTTGAACAGGGAAGGGAAAGACCTGTTCCCTGAAAAACTATAAAGATGAATGAAATTAAATTAACTACGAGTAAGAGAAAAAAAAAAGCATCATGTTTATGGATACGAAGGATCAGCGTTAAAATGTCCACGTGATCAAATTATACACACATCAGACGCAATATCCAATTCCAATCTCAGTGATATATTTTATAGCAATAGGAAACAAGAAAGCTAAAATCCATACGAAACCATAAAAATACCCTAAATAGCTAAAGTAATCTTGATTTAAAAAAAGCAATGCTAATAGAACCACATTCTGATTTTAAAATATGTGATAACGTGATAGTCATTGAAACATGTGGTGGGGCTGGGGATGGGTCTTGGAGATGTAGCATTCACCCAGCATGCCCAAGGCCCTGGGGTTCATCAGCAACACTTCATCTCACACACACACACACACACACACACACATACACACAGAGAGAAAAAACATTATGGTAATGGCATAAAAGTAAACATATAAATTAGTGGAACAGAACAGACTGCCTAGAGAAATATCCACATACATTCTCATTAAGACATCTTTAAAAGCACTGTCAAATATAGCCAATGTAGTAAGGAGGATCTGTTAAAAAATACTCACATGCACAGAATCAAAGAGGACCCTTTTACTACAGCCATACACAAACATTAAACTCAAGACAGATTGAAGACTTACATGGGAGAAGCGAATCTATAAATCTGTAAAAATCAAAAGGTTGAAAACCTTTAGGATACTGGAATAGAAAATGATGGCAGCTATTACGAAGACAGATGAACAACAAGTGTTGGTGAGGATGTGGGGGAAAAGGCACACTCATACACTGCTGGTGGGACTGCAAATTGGTGCAGCCAATTTGGAAAACAGTATGAAGATTCCTTGGAAATATGGGAATGAAACCACCATTTGGCCCAGCTATCCCTCTCCTCAGTCTAATCCCAAAGGACTTAAAAACAGCACACTACAGGGACACAGCCACATCAATGTTTATAGCAGCACAATTCACAATAGCTAAACTGTGGAGCCAACCCAGATGCCCTTCAATGGATGCATGGATAAAAAAATGTGGAATATATACACAATGGAATATTACTCAGCAATAAAATAGAACAAAATCATGGCATTTCAGGTAAATGGATGGTGTTGGAGAGGATAATGCTAAGTGAAGTTAGCCAATACCCAAAAACCAAATCTGAATTTTTTTCTGATATCAGGAGGCTGACTCATAGTGGGGTAGGGAGGGGGGAGCATGGGAGGAATAGATGAATTCTAGATAGGGCAGAGGAGTGGGAGGGGAGGGGAAGGGGCAGGGGATTAGCAAGGCTGGTAGAATGTGATGGTCATCATTATCCAAAGTACATGTATGAAGACACAAATTGGTGTCAACATACTTTATATACAACCAGAGATAAGAAAAATGGTGCTGTATACATGTAATACAAATTGAAGTGCATTCTGCTGTCATTTTTAAAAATCAACAAAAATAGCAAAGAAAAGAAAATGATTTCTTGGATATTACACCAAAATAACAAGCAACCAACTCAGGCATACACAAATGGTAAGATATAAAACTAAAAATGCTTCTGTACAGAAAGTTGAACAGCAGTCAACAGACAACCCACAGGGTGGAGAACACATTTTCAAATCACATATTGAATAGAGGTTAATTTTCAACATTTATTAAAACCTCCTAGAATTTAGTAAAAATGTTCATAACCTCTTTCAAAATCCACAAGACTTGAACAGATATCCCATCCATGGAA